GATGAAAGTATTCAATTTTATACACGATGTGTAAGAGATTAAAAATGATTTATAATGAGAATAGTATTGTAAAACTTCGCGAGACTTCGAAGATAATAAAGCGTTTTTATTTATTGTATTCTAAAATATCGTGTAGTATCAGTGATTAAACAAAAGCGCGACGAACTATTCTTTTTCAAATGAACTCATGTAAAAAGCTTTATGACAGTACATTAAGAAGGCATGCACATTACCGTAAATCATTTAACACTTGCTTTATAAATCTAAAGCATGCTGCTTGTAACATCGCACCAAGGTAAAGTAAATCACCGATACGTTTCATAAGACTGAAATGCTGTCAATTATTATAACGTACATATCATTTTATTTAACAGGCACCGATTCGCTGGTTCGAACCGGAAGCATATAAAGCTAAAGTAGCAGCTGCTGGCCTTGTTACGGTATTGCCAATTGGAGAAGGGGAAACCGATCCAGAATGAAGTTAAGAAATTAACGTTTTTCATCTTCGTGAAATCGTATGTATTAATAATCTTTACATCGATTTTTATTTCGATGTATTGTGATAAAATAAAAAAAAAGTTTAGCATAATATTTGTTCGTCGGTGAACACACAAATATATGCAAATGCTAACAAACGAGCGAGAAAATCGGTATTGCTCTTTAAGTACAGTAATAAGAAATGTCTAGCAGATATATTGCAATAGATGTTCATAAATCTGTGTATGTTTACATCTAAATTTTCATTGAATAATGAACACACTTTCTAAGCATTTATGCTTTTATATTACACATTTATACACTGCTAATTCAGAATGTCATCGTTAACTTATTTTTTATTGAACACAATATGATGATGAACACATTATTATGAAAGACAATAAGCGCTTTGTACGATGTTAGCATAATAGATGAAGTAATTGGATTCACACACATAGGACCTACGAAAATAATATACATAACGATATATTAGTATCCGTTGTTCAGAAATATTGTAACAGCATTTTTATTGACAAATATTATTGTTAATTAAATATGTTATATATCAATTCTGAATGAGAAAAGGAAACAAGAGGAAACAAAGATAACAGTAATTTCACTAACAAAAGGAATGTCCTAGGTAGAACTAAAATTGATCATTTTAGAATGTAATTTACATAAACATTCAAGACAATTTTTTCTATGTAACACTCACTAGTTACAATGTAACAAAAATAACAGCTACTGAACCACAAACAGTGATTTAGCCTAATCTAGTCTACCTATTTAAAAGTAGGAACTACCATTTTGGTAATTATTCTGCTGTGAAATAATAACCAAAAAAAGGT